CATCGATTCCTTCAAGTCGGACACGAACTCGTCCCTTGACTCAGACTTACTGCCTAGCTCAGAAATGAGATGGCTCAACTCCTTTCCTTATCCCTACTTTCGTGCCAGCTTATATTCATATAGCGCGTCATTAGAAAAGTCCTTCAAAGTGATACGGCTGTTTTTTATACTATGCAAATGAACACTGACATTCTCAACACTCACTTCATCAATAATTTCATGAACCAAATGTTTAGGTAAGAACAAACTTCCTCTGAAGGCTTTGCCCTTGTGAATTCTAGCAAAACGTAGGCTGGAAATGCACTTGGGTTTTAGTTCTTCTGACACTGTTTCCAGGCGGAAAATATACGGCAAATATCGAAATATAATCCAATGTATTCTGCGACAGTTCAAAATGAATTGTAGAAGTTGTATGCTAGACCAGACCAAGTTGAAAATCTTCATGATACAGGCGCCGCGTGAATGGACCTTGAGGATACAGACTTGCAGTTTTCGACCAAACCGAAATTAAACTACAATGTTCCAAAGAGTCTTGATCAAATTCAAATAAACTGAATGGCTTCAAGTATAATGAGATTGATGGCCAAGTTAAACTTTAGACACCAGTAACTACCAATCAGCGAACGACGTCAAATTATCCAATGAGATTCACGAACGTAGTTCAATGTTGTATAGCGCTTGATTCATTTCAATGCGTGTCCTTACAAGGTTAAGTTTGCAATTCCAGAAGGGTAGTGTCTTTCAGTATTGCCTAGACTTATGCTTGCTTCGAAAGGAGAGAAGTTGTTCGTGTGGTGGTGTAATGACTCTAAAAAGCTATACTAGGTCAACTGATGGTTTTGTACATCGTTGTGGAATATGCTGGAAGCGAGTTAGTACTAAAGAGGGTTATATTTCGTAGGAACTCTTTTTGCTAGGTCGCATCTCTCCCAATACCATATTTTATACATTTGTATGAGACAGTGTTGGTAAAGAAGAAATATAATCATGGTCGTCGGAGAGCAAACAACATTTGGGTTATCGGTTTATACGACACGTCCCCTCCAAAAGGGTTTGTTGAAAGAATAGGAGATAGGAAGGCGAGCACTTTGATACCTATTATAACTCGACTTGTGAAAAGGGGATCAATTGTGCATACGGACGAGTGGAAAGGCTATGATTCATTGTCAGAGATATCTCTGGGTTACATTCACCAGTGTGAGCCACTCAAATGATTCCGTGGATCCTGTTACTGGGACTCATACGAAGTCAATTGAAGGATTTTGGGGCGGGTTGTAAAATCGGATAAGGGCTATAAATCGATCCCAAAAGGATCTCATTTATAGTCATTTAGATGAATATATGTACAGAATGTGGTGCGACTTTCTGTTGACAGTCCGATGCTGAATTGGGATGAATAGCTGTGCTGTGCTGTTTTAGTAATTAGGCGACCAGCTAAATACTATCTGTAATCAGTGATCACCAGTCTACATATGAGAGAGTGATTCTTGTAGTCTGTTTCACCATCGTACCATTCATTTGTTTTCAATCAATACTTGTGTATGGTGAAGTATTTTGAGAGAAGAAATACTCTTTACTAATTAGGTCACATTCCTGTGTATTTTGTAGATGTTCACAAATCACACAAACATTTTCATTCAGTTGAGTCTACTTCCTCTTTACACAATTAGCATCACGTTGTTAAAAGAGAGTAGAGGAGGGAAGGATCTCTGTGTGATGCGTTGAGATATCAGAGTAGATGGCTGCGAGAAATGGTGGTCGGATTCGTGGAACTGACATGGCTTCTCGCATCACGTGATAACAGTGAGAATACTGGTTATCACACTGAGACGAGACCTCTCACAGTTTATCGTGCACCGTCTTCTAATACATCTCAACACTTTCCGTGAGATAATCATCGAAGTGAGTGCAGAATATAACCGTTCGCCTTCTATGATTTTTGATAGCTGTTGTGGGGATTATTTTGAGAAATTAGAACCAACGAATTCATAATGAGGATGATGATTTCAATCAAATAATCAAAGCACACACCAGATAATAATTTGAGAGCTACCAGTAGCTATACTAGACTCAAATCAAACGTGATTCATCTTGTTTACCTTATGAAGACCTGTTATGTGGATTGTGTTCGCTCAAAATTTGAACAACGCTGATCACAGAGTATGACAATAGCCTCTAGTTTCCACTTGGTTGATCGATGCATATATCAACCTTGGTTTCCGTGTCATATGTCTGAATGAAGACCTAGTGAATATATTCCACGGAACACTGATGTAAGCTGGATATTCTGAATATTTACAGGCATCATTCCTACTCTCACCTGAGTCATTCCAAAAATTTCTGCTCGATGAATGTTGCATTGAATATTTCTATCCGTATTGAGAGGACACAATTTCTCAGATCTTCCTTCTGTTAACTTCGATTGAACTGTTCAGTTTACTGTTCTTCATCTATTGCAGTTTCGCTGACTTATTCACACGAATCAGGTTAAGCGACAGTCATTGTACAACGAGTAAGCCTAGTTTGAAATGTAATCGGAGTGACTATCTATTACCCTGAGAATTCTGAGGTTCCGAAATCAACTGCACATTCTGCAAGTCATTTTGACGTGGCACACATTCTCAGACATCATTTGTGAATGTTGTTTACGAGCAGTGAAACGTCGTTGTTCGACGTGCTTTCAGAACATAGCGTCACACAATCTGCAATGGCACTGCTGGCTTTTCCCGCCATAAACCGATATAAGTAAGTATACATTGAAGTGACTTTGCATTGGTTACTCAATATTTTCAAATTTAGCCGTTTCACATTATGATGGATGTTATTCTTATATCCTATCAGTATTTTGTAAGACTATTCCGTCATTATGTTTCTGAATGAAAACTGATTGTGTCTCCAATACCACTTTCAGTATCACCTTGACACATCACTTTTCTTCAATGAGGATTAATAATCCGGTGTTTATGATCTCTCTGTCACCGATGTTCGAGTCAGTATCGACCGTTCAGAACAAATGTGGAGCCTGCTTCTCGATAGCTGTGGTATCCTCATGTGAAAATATGAAGACGGATCTGGCATTGAACTCCGACTAAATCGCATAAATTACTGTCAAGCAATAACAGTCTATGGTCACCAGTAATTAGAGTAGAATGATTATTGATATTCATTTGATTTTTGAAACTTATCGTGTTGCGTTGAAGTTTCCGTAACGGTTTGATTGATTTTGTAGTGTTAGGTACCAGGACACAAGCTCAAGCCTCCCTATTCACCCGAGCCACGGGCAGGAATTTGTTCTCACTTAAACCTTAGGTTGATGAAATTATTGATAAAATGAGTGTTGGGAATGTTGATGTTCATATGCATAGTTTCAGAAATAGCCGTCGGAAAGACTTTCAAATGACGCGAAATAAGGAGATAAGCTGGCACGAAAGTTGGGATTAGAAGAGGCGTTAAGTCAGCTCAATTCTGAGCAAGACAATAAGTCCGAGGTGAGAGACGAGTTCATGTCAGGCTTGAGGGAATCTCTCAGCTACACTGTATTTAGTATTTGCATGTCAATGTGCACGACATAATGTATTTTGACGGTCATTCTAGTGGTTATGGAATGTCTTTCAGCCTGTTTTGGAAATTAATTTAGAGTAAATTGTGTGAGGTGGGAACGAAGTTGACTTATATTCGTATCTTTCAGGTAAAGGCAAGAAGGGCGATTGAAACATGTGAAGCGCTTCCTCCGGACGTCAGTTATGAAGGATCCATGCAGATACTGCATGATTCATTTGGACAAGAATATAAAACTGCTCATTCTTTTATCATTGAACTTATAAGGGATTCTCAACCCATTATCATGACTGCAGATGTCTTCCTTATTTTGATATAAGACCCCGTAACGCTCATATCACGTTGATTCACACCAGGTACATTTCTCATCTGAACTCTCCCAGAAATGTAGAACGAATTAAATGCCGTTTGTCTATTGGAATGCAGGTGAAATGGTCGACAGAATTTCGTGGCCGGTAGAGAGCCAGAGTTCGAGGACCTAGTGAAGTAGAGAGCGTGAGTGGCTCCAACATTTTACGGAATGTTACTCAGGCACAACACAGACGCCAAGGAGAAGACGTCTGCGGGGAGACAGTATCCTGTGTCCCGTTGTAATGTAGTTGAACGTTTTATTACAAGGCAACTTGAGAGTATTCAAGGAGAACCCATTGGCTGGATTTGGTTTGACTGTTCTCATTGCTTAGTGAAATGCTCCGAAATCAAGTATTTGACCGTCGAGGAGAGGAGATTAACTGCTAGGAAGCCGAATGTTTGTAACGTTTGACTCAAATTAGGCGATATTGCAGGATATTGTCCTTCACGAAATAAGTGTAATGTGGATTTGTGTGAGGTATACATACGAGTGTGCAGCTTGATAGTCAACTGTTTGAAAAGAGTCTCTTCGCTGAATCGCTTATTTTGATCTTCTAAATATGCAGATGGAAACTTCCAAACGAGACGTCTACTTCACAATGCAGATAATTTCTGTTGGTGAAAATATATTACCTCGTCATTCTGTTGGTAGTGTTTTACTCCTTGAAATTACAGAATTCCCGGGACTAGTGAATACATAACTGACGTAATTGGTACCAGTGATTCGGCCTACCAACATGTTACCTCATTGGTACGACTACGGTCAATACTGCCGAATACTTGAATTCTGAGTGCTGAAGCGTTGATATCAAGTTACATGGCAACCCATTCAGCAACACAATGTTCAAATGAATCAAATTCGAATTTTTCCATATTTTATAATCATTCAGTTAGCCAAAAAGCAATGCCGATACTCCTGATACGATAAAAGTAATTTGGCTGATCTCAATGACACCGTTACCGAATGGAAAACTTCCTAACTGATGAATCTAAATGCCCAAGTATATACACCATCCATCGTGTTACATGTGAATATGTTTACTCAGACTGAAAATCCCGAATTCATCTGATCAGTCAGAATAAGCTGAATATTTGAATGATAAAATTGTATTTAAAAGAAAGACATTAAGCGTCATTATGAAAATTAGTTATTTAGTTAAAAGTGTTCATGAAATCCACAGCACACGATTACATTTCAATAATGTGCAGAATACACGTTTCCCATGCTAGCGAGAGTAATAGATTCATATTCGTCACTAGTTTCTTCCTCCTACTCCTGTAGAGAAAACAAAAGAAGATGAACATTAGTGAATTCACGAGAAAGTAAACCACACTGAATGTTGTCAGTATTGCAAGAGACACGGAGAAGTCCACCAGGTGTGATTGTGACTGAGGGTGTATTAGGAAAGTCTGACATGGTTCAAAATGACTTGACCACAATTGGTGTTCAACTGGGAAGAAGTTGTCAGTTGGGTTTTGTTAACTGTCAAATCTACGATACATTGACTGATTCTCTTCAAACCACTAGATATAATTTCATATGACATGACATGTATAAATTGGTGGTCGACCGAATGACACAACCCTCGTCCCTGGTGTTCAAAATACAAATAATATTGTATTTACAAGGATTGGATTTAGATTACAGTAGTACATATTTATTTTTAAAGACAGGATGACAGTGTCTCTCATCAGTCAATTTTGGAAGATAAAATGTGGAAATTTCATACGAGATAGTAGGTAAATCTTACGTTTCAACCTCTTGATGGCAGTTTCATGAATTTTCTTCATCACTTGAAAGTAAAAGAGCGATATAAAGGTGGCGGATTAGTGGATTGAAAGCTAACGCTGTTCGTCATTGTATAACTTCCTTCTCCTACAACTGATGAAATCTGATCGATAGGAATAAAATGCATTGAATAAGTTCGTTTGTCTACAAAATGTTTGATGAAAGACAAATCATGCTCAATCAGTCAGCACTTCTTGTAGGCCACTGGTATATAGTGGCGAGTGGCAGTTATTCCAAAATCTGCGTTGTGATGAGTATTCACTGTCGTTGTCGTTGTTGGTTTTTTTGATTTTTACAAATGTAGTGATCAGTCGTCCTAACAGGTATAAACATAGAGGTGAACACTTCAAGCAGTTTCTCCTCAACTAATTTCTTTTCATCACTGTCTCCCACATTTACTGTATTGTCATGGAAACAGTCATACTAATCCAGTTGCTTCTTTACATTTTCACAGTAGTAGTTATGTGTGTCGATGATTCAGCCACTGTGTAACTAAACTGATGCCTTCGAGCGTTTTGACGATTCGTATCTGAAAAGTGATCCCAGAGTGGACGTTTCAGATTATCCTAAGTTTCTGTAATCGGTTGACATCCTTCAGTGAATAGACCTATATACAACCAAACGTTGTGTACCGACTACTAATTGATGGACAGTTTTCCGGAAACCTCGACATTTCAAGATGAATATATGCTATTGATTTCAGTTGTAAATACAAAACCGTTGTCGAGCGAGCAATGCTCGTGTAATCCCCAAGAGTTTTGCGCATAATACGATCGCTGATTTCACAGAATACCAAGTTATCGTTTGTAATTTGTTGTTGTGAATAGATGTTGACGAATATATGGAGTGCATAAAACCCATAAAGAAGACAGAGTGAACTTACAAATGGTTTCAGCGTAAAGGGATTTCTGATCATATAAGTCGCATATTATATACTTCATATCATCCACAGTCACCGGATCTGAAATTTGTAAAATAATGCCTGCATTTTACGACTGAACGTCACAGAATCAAATGGTGAAAGGTGATCATGCAGAATACTGTGAAGCTATTGGTGGGTCGGTTTATTGTGCTGTTGTTTAAGCAGACGACTGACTCGTCTACGTGTTTATTCAATTGAAGGTCGAGCATTGAACGTGTTTGAAGACAGTCAAAACACCTTCGACAATTCCCTACACCTACCTGCCTGTTATTTCTCGTCATGTGATGAAATCGCAAAACTTCGACTTCATCAAAATTGGTGCAACGACAGATAATTGCCATTGAGGAGAAGAGTTTTAATTACATTAACTGCAGTTTCGACTGCATCGGATAGATTCACAGATTTCAGAATTCAAGTAATTGGATTACCGTCTCCACTTATTGACCGTCTGATAACGTCACAGTCAGGTTTTTCTTGTGAATTCAACTTGGCTGATGAAGAAATAGAAGGAAAGAACAGGACATTGAAACAATGAGAAGTTAAACATTCATTGATTTTGTCATTATTATCAAATACTTATGCAAATACAGACGTATCCAAAAGCTAAACTTCACACAAATCAATATGAAATGAATCATCTTGAGTAAGATATATCCACTCCCAACTGTTTCCTTTGTACCTGAAATGATCAGGAGTGTTCGAGATTGAAATTGACACCGATGTAACAGATGACATTAGGTGGGAATTTTTATTGGATAAGTGGGAATAGGGAATGCAAAGCTAGACTGTTTACCTGAGTAAGCAGCATTTTCTTCCTGGACACATTGATGAAGAGAATGTTCCTCTGTGTAGGGACCTGTACGTAAATGTATTTCAAACAAGATATCAACTCATGTTCACTATGATTCACAGTATTGTTAGGTAAATGTGGGAATTTATCTCTTGGACTGTTGGTAAATTGAATCTATTCTGAAAGGAATATATGAACACAGGTAATTATTCTCGATAATTCTGGTTTCACATTGTGCAGTGACACACTGATGAATGTTTTGCATAAAGTGGCCAGTGAAATATATGATCGGAAATTTTGATGAGCATCATGTGTTGTGGAAGAATGATTGCTGGCAGCGGGTAGTACTAATTCCGATTGATTGTTGAAGTAGTAATGAAGGAAGTATTTTGGATGGAGTGGTCTGGGAGAGTATGGAAAGATGGTACAATGGATGTAAAGTATAGGGTGAGCATCATTCAATTCGATTATGAACTGACTACATGATGACCAAAGAAAACTTCAACGCTTGGATGCAGTATATATATGTGTTTATATACTGAATGCAGACAAAGTGATAACAACCACACATGAAGTCAGTTGACACAAATTCAATTTACCATATTTCTCAGGTTGGTACATAAGTCCCTTCTTGACATCTGGAAAGACAGAAAATGATAACTGACATTAAGGAATTATGCAAAAGAATAATTGTTAAAACAGAATTATCCACTGAAATGGTTCTGGATATACTTCACAAATGGATAATTTCATGGTATAATTAAGCATGATTTATCAATCTCTTCTATTCATTATCGCAATGCAACTGCATTGACCAGCTTGCAACATCCAATTCTGGTGAGATTTATTACTCCCAATCACTTCTAAAGACACAAATGATCCTCTTCAAACAGCGATCTCCAGTTAGGCTGTTTTCACTCAACTTTGAAATGACTATGTTCATCGATTGAATAAATTCTGCTTTTCATCGGAATGGCTAGTTGACGTCATTTGCTTACGGCTCAAAATCTGCGCCTAATTGCTTTTAATTGATGCATGACTTACGTGGGTGTAGTGCATGATTTCAAATTCAGTGGGACAGAGTATGTACTTTTATTCGCATTGCAGATTGATGTGGATGTGGAGAACATCTCCAGGAGAGTAGAAGTGAAATTCCCTGAACATATATCCTCCCCTCCAACAACTTCAATGCATCACACACCTCTCCACACTGAATCAGTGAGTAATATCATTATGCAGGTGTTTCAAGTCTGACAGTGTAGTTGCTTCGTTGTAGGATCTCCCAGAAACGCTCTGGCTGCGAATTCGCCATCTCAACTCAAACGTGGACTATTTTATACAACAACAAAAACCCAAACTCATATGATAACCACGTGAATAAAAGTAGTATATACGGTTGACATAAATCCAGCAACACACCCCTGAATAATGCTTCTCCCATTTTGGTTTTGTCATTTTGTCTCAAACAGTCGATATCTGAAAGAGTTTGTTAGTCATTGAAATTCAAATAAAATTCACTCACAGATATCAACTTTGTTTTTGACTGTATGTACAGTTTGATTGTAAATCTTATCTAGTAAAAGAGAGAAGTAGGAAGATCGATTGCATGAAACCGGACACATTTATACAATTGAACATTTACTATGTACAAAACAGCGAGCAAATTTGCTATTGTTGGAGCACGCCAACGCCGTGTTGTATTCACTTTACAACAGAATGAACGTCACGAACGTGAACGTGTGAAATGTTTTCGATCGGAGTGAATATGAATAAATGTGAAGTGAATTAAGAAATCAGGTAGACGCGTGTTGATGAGTTCATCACTTTTCGTGTTAGACTGATATAATATCCTCATGTATACTGCGTGTATGTTTGCAAAATCTTAAAAGTAAAAGAATTTCTATCAAATAGCCTAAGGTCAGAGACTCCTGAAGAATATAACAAATACCTCATGCGAACACGAGATACAGAAGTCGAGTAGATCAAGCCCAATTATAATTCAGTTGGAATAATTGTTTACCTCGTAGTCGTTTAACCTTTGCTTCAGTATCAATAATTGACTGAGCTAATCCGGGTAATTCATCTGTGAGGAAGAAAGAAAAAATATTTTGAATAAATTACAAGAGATGGATGTTTTGACGCAACAGTATATCACGAAGCATCGAAGAGCAGTACCCGCACAAAAGCTTGTGTAGGATAACATAAGAAAAATTATAAACCCATATAAAGTCAATTGTCTTACCTTGAGACTTCGAGAGCAATTTTTCAATGTCTTCTATCGTAGTCGATTCACCTTGAAAATTGACAAAGGGAAGAGAGAGCAGCGATTGTTATAAAAGCAAAAACTTCAATAACACGTAAATAGGATGCAAGAATTTGTTCATTTCAAACGAATTGTTAGCCATGTCAGTATTTCGTGTATTTCTTTGGATGTTTAAAACACGTCAGTGAGCAGAACACCAGTTGGACTATTCAACTTCATTGAAAGCATACAATGAAATATTTATTCCACTCACGCTCTGATTCAGAAACGGAGAGAATTATTATTCATCATTGAAGGAAAGTGATTTGTCAAAGCGATGGTGAAACTGGTGTTGGATACATAATCAGTTTTCGCTCAGAAATATGATCATGGAATAGTCTTACATAATAGTGATAGGATGGACCAGTAATATTCATCATAATGTAAAACAGGTTAATTTGAGAATATTGAGTCATTTTAATATATACTTACCTTCGTATGCAGTGGCAAATACCAGCAGCGTTATCGCAGATATGTAACTGAACTTTGAGCTGAACATATTCTCTTCTTCTTCTTCTTCCTGTGTTTTCTCTGGCTTAACTCTTCAACTTTTATACTGTTCCTGGTGGTGAGTTGTAGTGTTGTAATGCGTTTGTCAGTAGATAAACATACTACTGCTTAGTTGTTTTTCATTTGTTAAAATTGGTCAGTGTGTTGATCAGCTGTCGATGGTTGACTGAGCGGGTGGGTGCGTGAGTGAATGAGTGAGTGGGTTGGTGGGTAGGTGAATTTTCAGCACCATCACCATATACTTGTTTTGACGCTAGAATGAATATTCCCCCTGTACAACAAGTCAGTCTTATTGCACAATTCCTGCTTGATGTTCACGAAGCTCTAGGGTAAGTGTAAAGTTTATCCATCTGGTTGATAAAAGACAATTCAGCGAAGAAAAATTTCTTTACAAATGAAATCATCTTCAGAGGCTGTACAGTCGTATTTACATTTATCGAAAATGTCTAGTAGTTCAGTATTGAGTGACACAATTGATGAAATCACTGAGAAGTGGTTTCAAAAGTAGAAATAAATGCTCCAAAATGCGTCAGAATTTGGGTATATTTGAAATTGTTATTGGAAGGGAAGAAAGGTAATTGAGTGTCAATTTAACAAGTATGCAAAGGTTGAGAAAACGTACGAAAGTAACATTTGAGAGTTATAATGGTGAATAAGCAATTGAAGCAGAAGCAAACTTTTCATTAAAAATACAAAGTATGCAGGAAACGACTAATGAAGAGAATAAGACCATGGTAGAATAAGAAACTGAACAAACGTTTTCTGTATACAGAGTTCGCGGTTGTATTGATGAATAGCCAGCGCCTCTGCCATGCACAAAAGCCTGAATCTGACGCCCTTTGTACCATTTGGCTTCACCTTGTAGATGAACTTCAAAGACGACTCTGGTGGAGCTATGTGGCTTAAGCTCACCAAGTGCTCGAGAATTGAGCCAGTAACTCTCTTGCATTGTCATTTTGCTAACCATGACGGATAATGTTCAGAGATGCGTTTGGGAAGTGTGCGTTCTGTGTGGCCAATATAACTAGCGCCACACGAGCAGGTGAATTTATCAATACACATTGAAGTGGCTCAAAGTGGCAGTTCATCCTTCACACATTCCTCGATCATTTGTTAGCTGTAGAGATTGATCCGTAGCTCAGCCGAAAAGAAGGCTTTTCTCAGTAATGTGGATAAGCGGGACTTCAGGAACTCAGCTGCCGCATCATCTCTAAATTCAACGTTCATGAAAATCAGTTTGTTCGTCACCATCTGGGTTCTTTCAGGTTTTTGATACAATTTCGTGTTTTTCTCAATGATTCACGATAGATATCCATTTTCCATGAAGAATCGTTTGAGACTCTCCGGTTTATCGACGAATATATCAGTGGTACATATTCTTCTTATTCTTCAGGATAAGTGTCAATCAGACTGCGATTTCTAAGGTACACTCAAATATTTGACTGCATGCATTGAACATTCCGTGGTGACTATCCATGGAATATCACCTGAAGATAACCATCACGCATCCCATTAGATATCCCAATGACTAACCTCAGAATTGAAATTCGTCAACATTAGAATTAGCAATCTAACTGGAAATGACAATCCATTGACAAATTATAACAATCACAAGGATTCTCCCTGAATATTTTGCACATCAGCTTGTAAACATCAGTATCTCACTGTGTATTCCTGAGAGAATTCCGTAGTTAACGGAAGCAATTTTTGTGTCTGAATATCTTAATTGTTCCAGTAGTGAGTAAGTTATGCCAGTCGTTAGTCGCTTTCCTAGCGATCCACCCATGAATTTGTTGAGCACTGGCGTCGTTTGTTTCACAGATTATTACAATTACCTCCGGGTAACTAGCTTGCTAGTAAACTAAACTGTCCATAGCTCGATGAATAAGGAGGCTTGAGCTTGTGTCCTGGTACCTAACACTACAAAATCAATCAAACCGTCACGGAAACTTCAACGCAACACGATAAGTTTCAAAAATCAAATGAATATCAATAATCATTCTACTCTAATTACTGGTGACCATAGACTGTTATTGCTTGACAGTAATTTATGCGATTTAGTCGGAGTTCAATGCCAGATCCGTCTTCATATTTTCACATGAGGATACCACAGCTATCGAGAAGCAGGCTCCACATTTGTTCTGAACGGTCGATACTGACTCGAACATCGGTGACAGAGAGATCATAAACACCGGATTATTAATCCTCATTGAAGAAAAGTGATGTGTCAAGGTGATACTGAAAGTGGTATTGGAGACACAATCAGTTTTCATTCAGAAACATAATGACGGAATAGTCTTACAAAATACTGATAGGATATAAGAATAACATCCATCATAATGTGAAACGGCTAAATTTGAAAATATTGAGTAACCAATGCAAAGTCACTTCAATGTATACTTACTTATATCGGTTTATGGCGGGAAAAGCCAGCAGTGCCATTGCAGATTGTGTGACGCTATGTTCTGAAAGCACGTCGAACAACGACGTTTCACTGCTCGTAAACAACATTCACAAATGATGTCTGAGAATGTGTGCCACGTCAAAATGACTTGCAGAATGTGCAGTTGATTTCGGAACCTCAGAATTCTCAGGGTAATAGATAGTCACTCCGATTACATTTCAAACTAGGCTTACTCGTTGTACAATGACTGTCGCTTAACCTGATTCGTGTGAATAAGTCAGCGAAACTGCAATAGATGAAGAACAGTAAACTGAACAGTTCAATCGAAGTTAACAGAAGGAAGATCTGAGAAATTGTGTCCTCTCAATACGGATAGAAATATTCAATGCAACATTCATCGAGCAGAAAATTTTCGAATGACTCAGGTGAGAGTAGGAATGATGCCTGTAAATATTCAGAATATCCAGCTTACATCAGTGTTCCGTGGAATATATTCACTAGGTCTTCATTCAGACATATGACACGGAAACCAAGGTTGATATATGCATCGATCAACCAAGTGGAAACTAGAGGCTATTGTCATACTCTGTGATCAGCGTTGTTCAAATTTTGAGCGAACACACTCCACATAACAGGTCTTCATAAGGTAAACAAGATGAATCACGTTGATTTGAGTCTAGTATAGCTACTGGTAGCTCTCAAATTATTATCTGGTGTGTGCTTTGATTATTTGATTGAAATCATCATCCTCATTATGAATTCGTTGGTTCTAATTTCTCATAATGTTAACCACAACAGCTATCACAAATCATAGAAAACGAACAGGTATATTCTCCACTCACTTTCATGACCATCACACGAAAAGTGTTGAGATGTGTTAGAAGACGGTGTACGATAATCTGTGAGTAGTCTCTTCTCAGTGTGAGTACCAGTATTCTCACTGTTATCACGTGGTGCGAGAAGCCATGTCATTTCCACGAATCCGACCACCATTTCTCGCAGCCATCTACTCTGATATCTCAACGCATCACACAGAGATCCTTCCCTCCTCTACTCTCTTTTAACAACGTGATGCTAATTGTGTAAAGAGGAAGTAGACTCAACTGAATGAAAATGTTTGTGTGATTTGTGAACATCTACAAAATACACAGGAATGTGACCTAATTAGTAAAGAGTATTTCTTCTCTCAAAATACTTCACCATACACAAGTATTGATTGAAAACAAATGAATGGTACGATGGTGAAACAGACTACAAGAATCACTCTCTCATATGTAGACTGGTGATCACTGATTACAGATAGTATTTAGCTGGTCGCCTAATTACTGAAACAGCACAGCTATCTATCATCGTACGATTCAATATATCACGAGTTCGTCAACAACACTGTTGTAATTAGAGCTGACAAAATTGTACAAGTCACTTTCTCATTCAATAATTTGTATACTGATTTAGGTAGAAATCTACTATATGTCATTCAGACTATGTGGATCAAGAAGAGCAGTGAGTAGTAGTTTCAGTAGTCTCAGTAGTCTCAGTAGTAGTAATAATGATTGTCTATGATATGGTGACAGAGAGGCACACGGGTATGAGTGAACCTTTACGCTGACATTGTCTCCATGCTCTTCTCATCAGGAGAGATAGTTGACAAACTCGTCGGGGGTTCCATCAGCTCACCTTAAATTGAGAAATGCAGTGAACACAATGTTGTGGAGGACAACGAAATCCTCACAACTGAACCATACAGTTACGAGGAGACTGTCCAACAATAATTGTTCCCGGACACCCTACACAACGATGTCTGTGTAAATTTTCACTGGGTTGCAACTCTGTTCCAACAAAGTCAGCGGGAATCTAGACACGTGAAAATATTTCACATAATAACCGGATCCCAATTGTGCACAGATCAAACACGAAATGCATCCGTGTCACACATTCTCGGTGTTCGTCTCCTTAACGCAACTCTGTCGTTCAAATGTTTAACTTTATCTCGACTGATCAGATGAATTCCGTGTTCTCAGTCTGAGTCATTTGCATACCTATCGACGTTGATAAACTCACACTTGACATGATGTTGTATACAACACTTCGTTTCGATTCCTCAGTGAGGAATATTTCAAATTGGTGTCATTATGATTGAAATGAGCTTAATTTAGTCCAAGTTGTCTGGAGTGTCAGCATTGCTTGTTTCCCACATTTAGTGATTGACAATTTCTATTACTGTATTGTTTGGACGCGTTCTTTTCTGTTGCTTTTATCTATTATATGATTTACAGTTATTGCTGTAGATTACAAATGACTGAATTCTGCTCAATCTGTGTTGTTGTCTGGTTTCCTGTGATTCCGTTATTGCACACAACTATTATAGCACTTCGTCGTTGATGTAATACTGTATTTGACAGTAATCTTGTGCTTTCTTCTCACGAATAACTGAATTTTTTGCAGACTATCATTCCCGATTTCCTATGTATCTACAGTTCTGTTATATCAGCAAACTCAAGCACTGTCCAACACACGCGCACACACATACACCAGGATACTTTTGTCAGTGCCATCTTGGCTACTCGAATATCGCCACTGTACATACACGTCTCACAACTCAGCAGTCGA